CTGCATATACAGGCTGCTTTTACTGTTGTGGGTTTAGTAACACTTATTACCATAGTTACTATTTGAGTTTTTAGGGACACAATTATAGTTGACCCCTTGTCTGAATGAATCAGATTATATCATGCTGTGGATGGGTTCCTAAAGGATTTGTTTAAAGGGGTTACATATACACTGTGTATGTCTTTTATCATAGTGGAGTTATTTTTTGTTTTCTGTGTCTCCTTTAAATATAGCCACCATGCTTAGTGGTCTTAGTTTCAATAAAAATTAGACAGTGTGTATATGTGTACTGATGATTTCTTGGAGAGATGCACCTTAAAAATGCCAGAAAATGTGCATTTTATCTGGAAGGACATACACTATGTTAGCTTTTATTGTCATCTGAATGTGGTGGTAAGAATCCTGCCTAATACATTTTACAATTATATTGTATGAGGATGGAATACAATACATTTATTGTCCACATAATGGTCACAGACAATGACCATAGACCTTTTTCACCACTGCACCAAATAATTTAATACCATTAAGGCAAATTAAATATTATGCCCATGGCAATCAGAAAAATTTTAATGCACAAAAGAAATGCTTCAAAAGAAAAAGTGCATATACTGTATGCATGATCATGTTCATATATACAATATATGCACTTTTTCTGCTGAAGCACATAAAATTATGTATAGTAACTATGCATCCCTTTTATTGATGTCCATTTTAAAAAGTGACCAATTCCTAGTCCCCTGTTCACCTGTTAGTGATGTAAATGGCTTTGACAAATGATGCATGGTGAGCTGTGAATGACAATGATGGATAATGCTTTGAAAGTTTCAGAATACGTGCTACCATACTTGATTGGTGACACAAGGAAACTGACAGCCTGTCACAGAATAGGTTGTACCCTCAAAGTTAACATCTTGTTAGTTACAGTAGATTACATATCACATTTTATGCTGTTAAAGCAAATTTATAAAATTTAAATAGCAAAAGTGAAGCATGCTCCTTTTCATTTTCAAAGCACAGCATAAAACAAACACTATTGTCAAATGGTATAACTTTTCTATTATTACACCAAGCATTAAGTAGACGTGTTTAACCCATGTACTTGCTTAACCAGCTAACCAATATATTGACGAGCCATATGCCATCTAAGCATTTATGTGATTGAATGAGAATTTTTCTTGCTATACACTTTTCCTATTCTAGTCAATGTGTTCATTTTATGGTCTGTATTATACTTTAAGTCAAAACAAGTTGTCAAGTAATTACAAAATGAATTATAGTGATGTCAAATGTAAGCATGTATAACAAGGCTGTTACTTCCATGATGCTAAAAGTCCTTACTTGTGCTAACAAAGACAAAATCGTTAGTGTATCAAATAAGTTGTGGCATTTTGAAGGAAATACATTTCCACATCTGGTCTTACATATTGAAGGTAAGGGATGAGATAATGTGTCAAACTCATTGTGAAGTCCGAAAATGGCAAATTTAAAACCGATCCCCTTTGAAGTCTATAGAAGGGGGTTCAAGAGCAACTGCAGGGGCAACACGGGGAAAAACAGCAATCCTTATAATTGCAGCACATGCTTGGGGAATGCCTATACGCTGTATGTGATGTTATGGAACAGTAAAAGTTTCATAGACAGTGTCAGCAACACTATATTTTTGACATAATTTGGACGTGTAATTAGTATTTTAAATTTTATACTATTTCTTGGCTGGAATACAGCAGCACCCCAATTTAATTCAGTACAACTTGCAATAATGCATTTTAGTTTGTTTTGGCTATGACACCTTAGATTTTCCAAAAGGTAACATGCCTGAATTTACGTATTTGACTAACTATAAATATAGCTAAACTTCATACCAATTGCCTGTGGCAAAACATAGTATAGTTTGTGAGCTTGTTTAATAATATATGAGTAGTAACAATAATCACAATTAGAGTATTATTATTTGAGAAACAGTAGCTGCAAATATTTGCACAGTTGCTGGAGGGTATGTAGGCAGCTTGATTAGGCCACAATGTTAGAGGGATAGAAGAGGCATATTTTATCCTTAATCAAAAATTAGAATGCAGACAAAAGCCACAAATATTTTATAGTTACTGAACCATATGTAGGCATCCTGATTGGGCTACAATGTAAGAGGTAGAGAAAAGGCAGTTTCTTTACTGAAATAAACATTAGAGTCTATTGTGCAGTGGCTGGATAGTATGTCAGCAGCTTGATTAGACAACAATGAAAGAGAGAGGGATGAGCAGATTTAAATTTGAAAAAAAAAAACATAGTGTGTATTATTTCAGATACAGTAGCCACAAATATTGTACAGTTACAGGATAGTATGTAAGAACCTTACATACTTTGAGAGGTAGAGCGAGCCAAGGGTTTTATCCTGAAATAAAATGAGAGTGAATTATTTCAGAGACAATAGTCACAAGTATTATATAGTTGCCAAACTGTATAGCAAGCTGCTTCATTAGGCCACAGTGTAAGAGGAAGAGACAAGGTAGCTTTTATCCTGAAATAAAAAGTAGAGAATATTAATTCAGAGACAATAGCCACACAACTTTTTGTACAGAGGCTGAAGAGCATGTAGACAGCCTGGTTAGGAAACAGTGTACTAAAGGTAAGTTTTTTTTTTAATAAACATTAGAGTGAGAGACAGTACCCACAAATATTTTTAGTGCCAGAGCACTGGAATAGGCCACAAACTTGCATGGGTGTCACATCTATCAGGTGGATGAAATTTGCCAGACAAGGTACTTTTGTGAACTTTCCTCACTGAAAAAAGCAGACTGTCAGGGCTCCCGGGTATGACCAGAGGTGTGTGACTGACGCAGGGAAACGCAGACTTCAGATATGTTTTAAACAATGTAATTTATTAACACTAACCATACAAACATAAACGCAGTGCAATACTAAAACATAACACACGCGCAAACAAAACCCACCACCCACAGATAAACAGTACATACAATGCAAGCGTCGTCAGGCAGGCCGGGTCAATATCAGTCGGGCAGGTAGGTACAGGGGGAGCAAGCGGAGAATGGTCGGGGTCACAGGCCAGGTTCAGCAGGTAGCGGGCAGCGTGGGTACAGAGGGTCAGGCAGAGGAGAATGGTCAGACAAGCCAGGGATCAGAGCAGGGTCAGCAGAGAATCAGACAGGAACAGAGAGCAGGAACAGGATACAGGGCCCAAGAGAAACACAACACCAAGGCAGAGTCTGCAGGTCTGAATGTCCCTTAAATACACCAGTACAATTAGTTCCAGGTGTTTGACTGGCTGCAAGGTTGAGTCTCTGATTGCTGGGAGCACCCGCTGGCCAGCCCTGGTACTGCAGCTCATAAGGCAGCTGAGTCCCACTATTGCTGGCCAGTCCCATTCCTGACAGTACCCCCCCCCCCCAAGGAGCGGCCTCAGGACGCTCCAAACAGTCCTAGCTGGGCAAAATGTTCCACCGCACGGGGTCTGGTAACTGGCGGGATATCAAAGGACTGGCACACCGGGCAGGACTCCGGGCAGCGGCACACCGGGCAGAGGCACATCGGGCAGGACTCCGGGCAGAGGCACATCGGGCTGGGACTCCGGGCAGAGGCACATCGGGCTGGACTCCGGGCAGAGGCACATCGGGCTGGTCTCCGGGCAGAGGCACATCGGGCTGGACTCCGGGCAGAGGCACATCGGGCTGGACTCCGGGCAGAGGCACTCCGGGCAGCGGCACACACGGGCAGAGGCACATCGGGCTGGACTCCGGGCAGAGGCACATCGGGCAGGACTCCGGGCAGAGGCACATCGGGCTGGACTCCGGGCAGAGGCACATCGGGCTGGACTCCGGGCAGAGGCACACCGGGCAGAGGCACACCGGGCAGAGCACATCGGGCCGGACTCCGGGCAGAGGCACATCGGGATTACCAGGCGAAGCAGCAGGCAGGGGAGCGCCACCAGGCGGAGCAGCAGGCACCGGGCCCCCAGGCGGAGCAGCAGGCACACGGGCCACCAGGGCGGAGCAGCAGGCAGCGGGCCACCAGGCGGAGCAGCAGGGCAGGGGCCCCCGGGCGGAGCAGCAGGCACCGGGGCCCCCGGGGGAAGCAGCAGGCACCGGGCCCCCGGGCGGGGCTAAACAGGCACCGGGCCCCCGGGCGGGGCGACAGGCATCGGGCCCCCCAGGGGGCGACAGGCCCCCAGGCGGGGGGGGACAGGCATCGGGCCACCAGGCGGGGGCGACAGGCATCGGGCCCCCGGGCGGGGCGACAGGCATCGGGCCCCCAGGCGGAGCGGCGGGCGCTGGGCCCCCAGGAGGGGTGACAGGCATCGGGCCCCCAGGCGGAGCGGACAGGCATCGGGCCCCCATGGCCCCCAGGGGCGGCAGGCATCGGGCCCCCAGGCGGGGCGACAGGCATCGGGCCCCCAGGCGGGGCAACAGGCATCGGGCCCCCAGGCGGAGCGGCGGGCGCCGGACCCCCAGGCGGAGCGACAGGTCCTCGGGCCCTCAGGCGGAGCGGCGGGCGCCGGACCCCCAGGCGGAGCGACAGGTTCTCGGGCCCTCAGGCGGAGCGGCGGGCGCCGTACCCCCAGATTGAGCGACAGGTCTCGGGCCCTCAGGCGGAGCGGCGGGCGCCGGACCCCCAGGTGGAGCGACAGGTCTCGGGCCCTCAGGCGGAGCGGCGGGCGCCGGACCCCCCCAGGCGGAGCGACAGGTCTTGGGCCCTCAGGCGGAGCGGCGGGCGCCGGGACCCCCAGGCGGAGTGACAGGTCTCGGGCCCTCAGGCGGAGCTGCGGGCGCCGGACCCCCAGGTGGAGCGACAGGGTCTCGGGCCCTCAGGCGGGAGCGACAGGTCTCAGGCCCCCAGGCGGGGCGGCGGGCGCCGGACCCCCCAGGTGGAGCGGCGGGCGCCGGACCCCCAGGCGGAGGAGCGACAGGTCTCGGGCCCCCAGGCGAAGCGGCGGGCACCGAGTCACCAGGCACGACAGTGGGCTCCGAGTCAACTGGCATGACCGCTGGCACTGGGGTCAGACATTGGATCGTTCTGGCTGGACAGCGGGCATCGGGATCACCAGGCATCAGGTCATTTGGCTCGACAGCGGGCACCGCGTCATCTGGCAAGGCAGTGGGCTCCGAGTCAACTGGTATGACCGCGGGCACTGGGTCAGACATTGGATCGTTCTGACTGGACAGCGGGCATCGGGTCACCAGGCATCAGGTCATTTGGCTCGACAGCGGGCACCGCGTCATCTGGCAAGGCAGTGGGCTCCGAGTAGTCAACAGGCACGACAGTGGGCACCGGGTCATCAGGTACCAGATTGTCTGGCTCGACAGCGGGCATCGGGTCACCAGGTATGACAGCGGGCACTGGGTCACCAGGCATCAGGTCATTTGGCTTGCCAGCGGCACCGCGTCATCTGGCAAGGCAGTGGGCACCGGGTCACCAGGCATTGGATCGTCTGGCCTGGATCAGTTCATCATGCTGGGTAGAGGCATCAGGCTGAATGCCGGCGTCCGGCTGAGTAGAGGCTTCAGGCTGAGTAGAGGCTTCAGGCTGAATTAGAGGCATCAGGCTGAGTAGAGGCTTAGGCCGAGTAGAGGCATCAGGCTGAGTACAGGCATCAGGCTGAGTAGAGGCTTCAGGCTGAACCACGGAAGGCAGGTTCACCGGTTTTGGATACTGGCAGGATGGTATTGGTTGGAAAGAATTTTCGCTTTTTTTGGTTTTAACTACTGGAGCACTGCAAGTAAAACGCAGGTCTGCAAACGAATGGAGCAGCTGGAGACAGAGAAGAACTGGGAGGATGGAACAGGAGAGGGAGCAGTTGCTACAGAGGGCTTTTTTACAGGGTTAAAGGCAGGATAGGTGCAGCGAGTGGGTACAGGGTACTGACATGCGGTAGATAGCAGGGCAGGAGGAGCTGTTGGGAATGCAGGAATAGAGTTTTGAGGAAATAGATTAGAAGCAGGACTGGGTTTTTTGTAAGCTGACTGAGGCTGGGTGCAACAAATCTGTCCTGTCTGCAGTATATGGGTTGAACAAAGCTGAGCTTACACAAAGCCTGTCTGACCAAAGATTGCACTGCGTTTATACATCTCTTAGTGTCTGTGGTGAACATGTGGAATAACGCTCCAGAAAGTAACCCACATCATCCTCTAATAACCACACCAGGGACTCTACCTGGTCTGCACTAAATGGTGGCAAAAATTCATCCCTGCATTCGGGGGTACCAGATGAAACCAACTCAGCACAAACCTCAATCAAAGGCTGCACCTCAGAGAACTCTGTGCCCTGATCTACTAGAACATGAGCGAGCCGTATACATTCTAGCAGTTCATCCCGGGTATACTCCTTCAGAGTTTGATAAGCATACTCCCTGTCATCAAACACTAGCAGATATAAATAATACACACAACCTCATCAAGATCCATCCTTCCCATCAACAAACCAAAATGGCTTCCCTGTGCAGCCACTTCTGGTCAGGATTGGCCTTGGTGTAATGTCAGGGCTCCCTGGTATGACCAGAGGTGTGTGTGACTGACGCAGGGAAACGCAGACTTCAGATATGTGATAAACAATGTAATTTATTAACACTAACAATACAAACATAAACGCAGTGCAATACTAAAACATAACACAGTGCAAACAAAACCCAACCAACCACCCACAGATAACAGTACATACAATGCAAGCGTCGTCCAGGCAGGCCAGGTCAATATCAGTCAGGTAGGTACAGGGGGGAGCAAGCGGAGAATGGTCGGGGTCACAGGCCAGGTTCAGCAGGTAGCGGGCAGCGTGGTACAGAGGGTCAGGCAGAGGAGAATGGTCAGACAAGCCAGGGATCAGAGCAGGGTCAGCAGAGAATCAGACAGGAACAGGGAGCAGGAACGGGATGCAGGGCCCAAGAGAAACACAACACCAAGGCAGAGTCTGCAGGTCTGAATGTCCCTTAAATACACCAGTATAATTAGTTCCAGGTGTTTGACTGGCTGCAAGGTTGAGTCTCTGATTGCTGGGAGCACCCGCTGGCCAGCCCTGGTACTGCAGCTCATAAGGCAGCTGAGTCCCACTATTGCTGGCCAGTCCATTCCTGACACAGACAGTAGGTTAGTGCCCTTGGAGTCAATTCACAAAGAGTTAAATAATGACTGAAAAAATGCGTTAAAATAACACATGCGGTAAAGTTTTTGCAAATGTGCAATTGACTAAGAATTTTTGCGGTAAATAAATCTTGCAGTAAAATATCTGTATTGTGGTAATTACCACATATTTTCATGTGGTAATTTATCGCATGGTAGCTGGTTTTTAAGGAAGCCAGACATGGTGTTCTTAACAACAGATAACTCATCAGCTGTCAGCAGGTGTCCCACTGATTGCGAAATGAAAACAAACCTTCAGAGCACACCTATCTTCAGGAACATTCGTTAATACACAACATTTCTCAGCTGAGTCCTTGACCTGATCATGTATGAGGGAGGTTACAGTGGCCTACTAATATCTCCCCTGGATGGTGCCTCACAGCTTAGCACCTGAGGGGGTCATGTGCCTTTATACATTATTATTCACATCCTCCTCTGGACTACATGTGGTCACTCCTTCAGGACAGGATGCTATCATGACCTTTATGCTTTCCAGTGCGGGGGGGGGGGGGGGCGATTTCTTGGTTTACCATGTTTTTCCCTTTATGTAAAGGTATCAGCCCCCAGGGCGTAGTTTAGTGTATGAGGGATGTTTTGTTACCATTGTCTGCATTCTTCACTGTAATACACTAATTTACACATATGTATGATTGGTCTGGTGCTGGGTTTATCCTGGCGCTCTTGGCTGGTCAAGTCTGGGTGTAGGAGTCATCTGTTTATAAGTGCATTTTTTCCTGCATAGAATATGTTATAGCTTACAAGTGAGTCATCCAAACTATTACCTCATAATCAATGGGTTTCCCCCCCTATAGGGATTTACATACGTGGGACCTGTGGAGTGTGAAACGATCTTTTTATACTTTTAATTTTGTCTGTGTTATTAAAGACGTTTTCGTGCACCATTGGTCACCTTCTCCTTTGTTTGAATCATTATCCTTGAGTATTTAAAAAATTCCCCACTCCGGTTGAATCCACAAATAGTCTTTTTCTGGTAGTTTCTCAAATCTTTTTGTTTACCTATTCGTGAAAGCACTTGCACATAGAAGCTGTCACCACTGCTGGCTCAGGATAGCCCTCAGCAATGCTTCCCTGAACTTCTGGCTGAGCAGGTCATATGCTCACCCTCTCTGGAACTATATATCTAATCAACCCTAGAGTCATGCCTTTTCCTCATCCACCCAGCCTCAGGAGCCACAGTCATTCTATTACATGGAAGGAGGAGCAGGGGTGGAGTTTACATGGCTAGGTCTAAACTTCAGGGCTGTTTGTGTGCGCACAGGCAATAGGGGTTGATTTACTAAAACTGGAGTGTGCAATATCTGGTGCAGTTCTTCATAAAAAAACAGCTTCCAGGTTTTAGAGCCAGAGCAGAACAAGCAGAAGTTTGAAGCGGATTGGCTACCATGCACAGCTGCACTAGATTTTGCACTCTCCAGTTTTAATAAATCAACCCAATGTGTGTATGTACAGCTATACTCCCAGCCAGGACACTGCATACAAGGGAATCTCCATGGGACTCAGCAGAGCAATGGAATTACCCTAAGACAGAAAACAAAGGAGAAAATAATTTAGCCTATTCAGCTCTTTGGACATGTCAGGTATGTACAAATTCTGAAGATGGTAAACAACTTCATGGATGTAGTAGTCACTGTGAAATTGTTTTTCTTTTGTGTAGCCACCTCCTAGCTTTCATGTTAAAGTGATCTGGGCAACTGTTTTACATGACTCACCCCTGCTGGCATTCCTCCTTGGTGGTTCCTGGGCTCTCTACACAACAAATCAAGTAAGGATAATGGGTAGGGGAAGCTGTGATGACTGTGACTACAAAAGAGGTCAGCTCTGAGTATTTCCAGTTTCAGAGCTGTCAAAATCCAGGCTAGAATGCCAGATAAACAGCGCAGTCCTATACTTGTCTGGTTGGGAAGGCAGATACTTTAGGAGTCTAATAGAAGCCCAGAAACATAAAAACTGTAAAAAGAAAAATATAAAATGTAAATTAGAAAAACCTTTTTAAAAGCACCTCATCACTCCACATGCAACGATTGCACAACACATTGGGTATCGCAACATAAAATAGAGTAAAAGAAATATATTTTAAAAACTAAGAATGTAAAAAATAATACTTTAAAATTATTTTCATGCAGTTATTATAAATACCTAAATTTGATTGATTTCAGCCATTGCAATCCCTGTAAGCAAGCACTTGGGCTGGGAAAGGAGAGAAAAAGTACTTTGAATCAATCAGGTACCCTTGCACTCTTTTGTGCTGATAATGAAATACTAACAGGAGGAGAGAGCAGAAAGATAACTTCAACCAGTTGTTTCTGCTCCTTGCTTTTGTCTGGGAGATGTCCTAACTGTGGTGCTAAACTGCAACAGAGAAAAGGTAGGTCACCAAGATGGCTCTGTTGTTTCTCTGTACTCTGTAAATCCCTGGGTGGATAAAAATACAAATGCTTTGGCAGGAAAAAAAAAAAATCACATCTATGAATGTCAATCAATGGTGTATTTAGCTGTCTGGCTGGAGTTCAGCTTTAAGGGATCACAGACCTCCAAACTTAACTTCTGTCGTACCGAAAGCCTATAGTGATTTCTGCTGTGAATTGGGGCATTGAAACCCTGCCAACGCATAGAAGCCTTCTAATGTAAGAGACACTACAGTACACCCCTGGGCCAGCTAGTCACAAGGTATGTCTCTTGTAAATGTGTTCCAAACAACTGCAGCTGTGAACTGCCACTAAATATGATTAAATCACATACTGACTTGATAACTTAGTTTAATCGTAAACCGAGGTTCTTATGTTCTGCTGCTAGCAGCTACTATATGTTCTCTTAATTCCACACCAATTCAGTGCAATGAAATGTTTCTCTTGAACTGGCACTTCAAAGAACAGACACCCTTTTCTCTAATTACTGTATTTTTCTCATGTGTTGATTCACTTCTAAAAGGCTTGATCTATAACAGTCATAATGCTGGGAAGGCTGTGCTGAACGAGCAGTCTAAAGATTATAAAATAACATTTTATATTATACAAACTCCTCTAAGCTGAGCAATAGCCATAAAATAGATGGACTCATGAAGGTTTGTATGACTATTAGTTGTAGCAATGAAAGTGATATCACTGTGTTCTGGCTTCTGTCTTCCTTTGGAGTGTCTGGATATAATTGTCCAGCGCATACAACTGCTGATGAGAATAGCAGAGGTTGGCAGACACCATACAATAGCCTAAGCACCTCAAATGTTTCCCTTGTGTGCACTAAAGGACTCAACAGCTCTTCAATGACTCTTATCCTTCCAGAATATTAAGGAAAAAGTGGAAAAAGAGCTGGCTTTAACAAACCTTCTGCTGAAAACTCATATAACTTCTTAGATGGTCAAAACTGTATGACTTAAAGCTCAGTAACTGTGTAGTGGCTGAAAGGCAGAATCCAGATTGCAAACTTTACATTTAGAACACCACCAATTAAATCTAA